TAAAAATCGCTCGCGGTGAGATCGCTCGTTAAAAGATCGTAGTGTAATGTGATTATTATGCGGTACATTGGTGAGTTTTTGTCCCTGTTTCCATATGTAAGAACAGGTTTTCAATCTTATCATAGGAAACTTACAAACAGTCCTGAATTTGTTAGGTCGAGTCAGAGTAATTTAATATACATGTCTTGAGTCAGTGTATAAAAACGAGATGTCATGCGGAACGTTAATCAGGTAGGTGAATAACATGAAAAATTTCAACGAGGGATCTTATCGCGAGCGATTTTTACTACAAGCGACCTTACAGTTAACGAGCGACTTTTAATGTAATCAGTAATATATTAAGAAATTTTGCATTTTTCACCCACTGAGGATGGCTCAATGCAGAGCCGAAACGTTTGGGTGCTAATTTTTATTCTAAATATACTTGATATCACAGCACTAACTCCATGCAAGGCTCACTAGCCCTTTTTTTAATACTTTGTTTAGCAATAAAATTATTTCCAGCAATTAATCTTTAAAATTAACAGTTATATGCAGTATTGTTGAATTTAATTTGTATATCTTATAATGACTTTGAACGTCTATACTTTGTATTTTATCATTTAATTATATTCTAAATTGTACTTTTATGTATATTAATATTATTTCAAGAATCACATATATAACAAGCAATTGCTTGCATATTCCTTGACAAATTAGCTCTGTGTAACAGGTTTACACAATTAATGATGAATCACAGCATTTGCTAATATGTGGAGTACCACAATTGCAATTAGTGGAAGAGGTGAGAAAGCTCACTTATCCCTATGGAAGTGTGAAAGCAATTCATTTGGTGACTGAATATCCTTCAGAAGAATTTACGGAGACGTATCATGTACATTATGCACATATTCAGAGTGCGAGGTACATATTTTTGTTCTAAAAAGATGATATTTGTAATGCGCAAGAATTTGCGAATGAAAATCTAATTATTCACATCATTTCTTTTGACAGAATAGCAAAGCGCTCAATTGATAATAAAAATTTCTTCGGTGGAATTCTGCATATTTGTTATGCTCCCGAGTTAGAGACTCTAGAGGAGACGAAAGTAAAGCTTATACAACGCCGTAAGGATGTAGCGACACAGATAAAAAAAATTCAACAGGAGTCGGTGAATCTAAAAGTAGATAAATTTATACCAAGGTATGTCTAAATCGTAATTAAATGTATAATAATAAACGTTACACAAATTTAGAAACTTGAAGAATAAGACAAGTAAACGAATAAACCTGTCGTGCAATGCAGGGAGAATCCAGGCTCGAACCTTGGCTAGAGAGATATTTTTCGTAATAAATTCTTTACAGTTATTTGAGATATTCATTAGTATAAATATTATTAAATGGCTAATCAATTTAATTTGCGACATTAAATTTCTGCTTTAATTTAGAATAGTTTAGAACTATGTTTTTCAAGACCGACAAATAATCGGCATGCAGTTTGTATTAACTGGAAATTGTAAAAATTCACAAAAATATTATTTAGACATCAAGGCATCTTTGAGTGGAAAAGGCGCTCTTCGTTTATTTATCTTATTTTATTATTGGTTCATTTTCACTTATTATTGATGAATATGGTAATTTAAAGATTACCCAAATGTTCAAACATATTAATAAATTTTACCAAGTGTCTGCCAAATTTTATAATAATAAAATATAACAATCTGCAAGCGGAGTATAATAGCAGTTGCTATATTTACTATATTTCAGAAATATTTCATTGCAAAATTTTTGAAATATTTCATTATTTTTCATAAAATATTTCTTAAATTTAAATATGTCCAGGAAATTAGAGTTTTTGCAATATTTCTTGAAATGTTTCAATAAAAATATTTCTTACAATATTTGTACAATATTTCTAGAATATTTTGGTGAAATATTTTAATGTAATATTTTAAAATATTTCACAAATATTTACGAAATATTTAAATGAAATATTAAAAAAAAATAATTTACAAGAAATATTTCATTCTGTGTGGGAGATTGCAGAAACTAGATAGAATCTGCATTTCGTAATCGATTACGTAATTTAAACGATTACGAAATGGCAAATTTTGCTCAGTTTTTGCCGGAAATCTGCTGTAATTATGTCAACTTAATGCTTATTTAATGTTGCAAATGTTGCAAATGCCAGCAATGTTCTGTTCAAATCTAGTATATGGTTAACATTTTGTTTGCTGAATATACATGCTGATAATAAAGATTATGTTTTATATAAGACACATAGAAAAAGTTAGTCTTAAATCAAAATAGATTTTCTCATTGATCCCCAAATGTTGGAATACAGTCGAATATCTCGTAAACAACATAATTTTGAAAAAGATAAAAACTGTAAAGTTTAAAAAGACGATAATATCCATTAAGTTACGACACTATGGAGAACGTTAATACCGGATGTTTGTCAACTAATAACTCAAAAAATACTTAATAAAATGGAGACTTATATAATGAAAACGTCTCAACGTTAACTGCAATAATGTGCAATAAAAATAGAGGGTTCTATTTTAAAGAAATCAAATTGTTCTTAAACTAATCTTGACAACTCTACCCAAGGTCAAGTGGATATTGTTCAATGCATCTTTTTAAATCTTACAATTTTTGTTTGAAACTTTTTAAAAATTGCATTGTTTACGAAATATTTTATTGTATCCAGACTTTTAACGCGCCCTGTATAAGCAAAAATATTATAATCTTCTTGGAAGATTTTAGTTGAATTTGATTAAATATATAATATTATATTAAATAGATTTTGATTAAGTGTATATTAATGCAAATATTATTTGCATTTAATTCAATACTAAAAATCTTCTAAGAAGATTATAATACTCTTACTTATATGTAAAAATATCTATTTTGATTTAAAATTTTTTTCTGTGCTGTTACATCTTAGATAATCTTACATATTAAATATGTACTTGCAGAGAACAGTATCATAGAAAAAAGAAAACTCCTGCTTTGCCTCTCACTGAGGAACGGATCAAGCATTGTTATCCTGGAGAAACGTTGTCTTCTATTTGTAAAGGGATACCTCAAAGCATAGATCCACGACCTGTGTCCGAACCGCGTTTACCAATAAATTGGAAAAGTGATTGTAATAGCGGCGCCATGTCTAGTTTAGAATCATACCCGGCGCCGTATCAATCAACCGATGCAGTGATACAGATGGGAATTCAGCAGACAAATAAAAATACAGTCTCGAACGTGCAAAAACGGAAAAATTGCAGAGTACACGACAAAGTCAAAATTGTTCGGCCACGATTGATAGATACCAGAAACATCGCGAGATTAAATTCCACCGAGAAGATAAATGTATTTTGTAATGTAAAAAAAATAGAAAATAGAATCACGATCAAGTTACAGGAAAAATCTGATAGCAAAAGAAAGAAGATAGTTATAAAAAATCCAAGGTACGTATGCCTTGACACGCGCATATGGAAATGTCTCAAAATGCCTTATGGCTTTGAAATGTAATACAAGTGCAAACAAGCTTTGGCTAGCGTGTTTGCATATTAAGACTCTTGTTCACTTATACTATTGCTATTTTCAATTATAGTGTAAAAAAAAAATATACATATAAAAATTCTTGCAAAATATTTATTAATATGAAAATATATTTAATAAAACAATACTTACAATTCATAGAACTGATTTATACCAAAAACTTTGTTTTATTAATTAATAAACAATCGTATAAACTACGTGTAATCAAAAATGAAATAAGTTCTGTTCACAGCTATAATAAATTAGAATAATTAATAATATATAGAAATAAATATGATTTAATTTCTCCCAGAAACAAAAAGATAGTTTTATGTATATAGTCACCATACTTATAAGCATATTCTATCGATTACAAATATTATTTTATTGAAAAAATATTTCTATTCAAATATAATTTACAAATATTTTTATTGTATTTTCTCACTTCTGACGCCATAATTAGATAGTAGTGGTGAGTGAACAGAAGTCTTACTAAATTATCAAAGTAAAATATTGTAAAACAATCTGTAAGAATAACGCAAGTACTTTTTGGATATTCTGTATATCTTATATATCGCAAATTTCTTAATTTGTGATATTTTCAATGTATACATCACTCTAATTTGCTGTATATGTGTTTTTCAGTGTAATATCTTTGGTACAATCCAGCAAAGATCTTCAATCTTCGATCCAAGCGGCGAAAGCTCAAATTCGCACGATAATGCAGAAACACGATAATTAAATAAATATTGACGTTATCAAAAATTATTTATTTAAAATTATTTGTATAATTTCATTAATTTTACAAGTTTATTTTGAAATATCTGCCTTGGCCTCTGCCACCATTTTACTAGCTAGTTTATAACAAATTCACTTATTGCCATCTTTATCTTTAGCATCAAATAAATCAACTAATCTAAATATATTACTTAAATTACTTAAATGAGAACCGTGGAATTCGGATCCCAGTGAGTTCCATTTTTAGTTTTTCCATTATATGTCTTATGTGGTGGTGTATTCTCTTGTTCCAATAGTTGTGTTCCAATAGACGCCTTGTTTCTCAACAATTGTTGCGGCTTTTTTTGTATTTGGCTGTTATTAGATCGATTGCCAAGAGGTGTTCGATTCTGAAGAAATTAATATTTGTAAATGTATAATTTTGTATGTGCGCATGCAACACTATATGATATCACATAAATTACCTTATGCATTTGAGCTCCCTGTTCGTTTTTAGGAGTGAAAACTTTTTCTTCATTAGGTTTAACATCTATTTTAGTGTTCTTTTTTTCATTTATGTCTCCCTTTTTTTGAAAATCCTCTTTCAGTGGCAAAGAGGTACTAATCGTGGTATTATCAAACATTATAATTACATCTTCTCTCGAAGCCTTTTCTTGCAGTAATTCTTTCTTATCCTTCTTACCTGATACGCTTCCCTCCGATGACAGTGAATCATACCATAATTTGATCTTATCATCTCTTAACTTTGTATTAGATTCAATACTTTCACAATCGTCCTGCTTTTCGTCTTTGTCTTCCTCATTATTAATCGCAACTGTCTGTTCGTCCGAGACCAACAATTTTTCCTTCCCACTCGTACATTTCGGATTCTTAATAACTGTAATTTCCTTTTCACTTTTGGAAATACTTAAGTCAGAATTGCACAGAGATATGCTGGATAGTCTATCCTGTTCCTCTGTATCTCTCAAGTTTTCCGAGGTTATATCAGATGTTTGTATTTTTGGGATATTAAGCGATGTGCTAATCTCCTTATAAGAGTTCTTCGGATTGTAAACATCCATTTCATAGCTACCTCTGCGACTCAAATTTTCTTGCGATCGTGCCTTTATTAACGCAAGAGACTTCGGCATTAAGATAGGAGTTCTATCAAAATTTGCAGCTGGAGATCTAGGATCTAATCCCAAAATTATAAAGCGTTCTTTATCTATTGGCGTAATTACTTTTGAATCCTTTGCATTAACATTAACGTTTGGTGTCAAATCTAGCACCTCAGCCTATAAGAAATTACTACATACATACACATCGAGTACATTTAAGTTAAACTTAAGTGTATTTAATTTTTTAATATAATTATAAAAAGTTTTCGATAAAAGTAATTCTGTTTAAGATGTATCTAATGACTAAGACAAGTTTTGTTATTTTGTTGTTGATGGTTTTATCTTTTTAAATGTAATATAATATATATATTTTATTACAATTTTTAAAGTATTTTTGACAAATTTAATAACATGCAGTAAAATGTAATTTTCAACAGTTAAATATCTCACAAAACTATAATAAAATAGATATATTATTCTATTTAAAAAAATAAAATTATTTTTAAAATTAACTTTTGTTTTAGTCATTTATATAGATTTCCTTATAACTTATTTGGAAAATTTTTTATAATTATTTGTAGCTATTTAAAATATACACATTCCACTGTTTACACTTTAATCAAACATACTGCATAGTCAAATTTTCAGTATACGCAAAAAATGTATAAAGTTAAATAACATACAAAATCTGACTCTTGAGTGCTATTCAGCGATTTTGATATAGGGCGTTTCTTAGGCGTTAGTGGTGGCATCACTACATCTATATCAGTTTCAAGATACTGCTTTTTCTGCAAATATTTTGGGATTGCGCTAGGTGTCTTCTTGCTTACTCCAACTGAGGTATATTTGACCTATAAAAATATTAAGATATATTGCATATATTACTAAAGTATATATAAATACTTAAAAAAAATGTGTTCTATAGCATCAAATTAATAGAATTTTACTTCAATAGGAGTTCTTGTAATTCCTGCTGAGATTGAACGTGGATCACCTAGTATTCTTTTTTCAGATAATATTGGTGTGCAAGTGTTGTTATCTTCTGTAGTTGCTTGTTGTACAACTGTGTGATGCTCATTGCACTCTTTTCGACTTTCATTAGTATAAAATAACAACTTAGTCGCATAATTGCCCATGATATTTGAACAGATAATCAAAATTAATTGTTATAAATAGCTGTCTCCTGCAAACAAAAACCAAGTTGCAAAAATGTAAAATCCTTAGCGTAATTTTATGACGATAAAGAAGCTGTATAATAAGTTTGATTAACAAAACGATTAGTGAAACATTTAACAAATTGTAGACATAATACATAATTCCTTGCATAATTCCAAATAGATATTTGATCAACATATAATTGCATCCAAACGTAATTCATCAGCACGGGGAAACAATTTCGATCTTCGTTCTTAAAAATTAAACTTATTACATTTATTCTATTAATAATTTTTCCTTAATATGTATTATTTATCACTCAGTTAAAATAAATAACGTAAAAAAATGATTAGCGGCAGTACTTACGTAGAATTCTCAAGGCGTTAGATACACGTAGGACGAGATCACGTTTCTAGATCCAACTGATCCAAGCAAATGCAACTAATTCAACCAGTGGTGACTGGACTTTAAATCGTTGTTTACTTTCAAAATCAAAACTGACAAACGTACGAATGGTACCAATGTACAAGTGCGAAAATCAAGTGCTGCCAATATTGTAAATATAGGGGTGCTAGGGTGCGTTCGGATTCCACACTCATGTGCTTCCTGGCACTCAAGAGTGCGTTCCCATTGAGCGCGTCACGCGTCGCGTTATCCGAATTGACCAATCAAAACATTTCATTTTATTGCGTAAGTTGTCGCGCAATCCTGGATTTCATACAAAAAAAATTATTTTATTTCTAGAATGTCGAGTAACCTAATCGATGCGTCGCGCAAGGACCCTCGTGAAGTTAGCCCGCAAGATGAAAATTTCTGAACGATCAATAGCTCAAAATAATGCTCCCGATTTGCTTCGTCCATATTGATAAATATAAAAAATTGCTCCCTTTTAATTTTTAAAAAAAATCCAAAAAACGATTTTTTACGAAAAACGTCCATAACCTGTCTCTTATACACATCTCTGAGCGGGC